ATATCATATCTCTGTGTCATTTTAATGGATATATCAGGTGCCATAATTTATTTACCCAATTCTCTACTTTTGGACAGTTAATTTTCAGTTATTTTGTTGTCGATAAATATTTCTATTGGGAGTGCTTTGGTCTATAAGTCTGATGATGTCGTTTTTTTTTTTTTCAGTTGGGTAATTGATCATTGCTGCTTTAACAATCTAAAATCTCAGTGGTTTAGCATGTCTAGGGTTTATCTGTGGTTTGATTTACTGCCTGGTGTGTGGGGGGGCTGTTCTTTGCAGGCATCAGAGACCCAGGCTCCTTTCTCTGCTGTGACTCCACTCTTCTTAGGTCCTCTGTTAACCTTTCCCTGGGTTTTCAGATCTAGAGAGGGAGAAAGAGAGCTTGAGAGCCCACACCTACTCCTGGCTACTCCCGCCTGTGGGCAGCACACATCCTTCTGCACACATGCCATTGGCAAGAACTAGTCACATGGCTCCACCCAGCTAAGAGGGGGCTGTGGACCAGAGTTGTCTAGCACATGCAAAGTGGGAAGGGACAATGCTTATCCATTCATAATTAGTCAAAGTGCAACCAATTTTCTCTCAGATCTTCAGAATATGAAGGGTTACATCCCTAAAACTACTGGTCGATCCCAGATAATTACCATTTTATATTTTCTTTTGCTTATTAAATTTAAATCCTTCTACAACCTCTTTTCAGCCTCTTCCCTTGTTAGCCCTGTGGTCTTCTCTGGTGGAATGCAGGCTGAATAGAGAGGAGATAGTCTGGGAGAAGAAGCTCTCACACATTGTATTGCCAGCTTCACAACCCATCCTGTATCTCTAATGTTGACTTGTTTTTCCAAGGACAGTGTGTAGCTAGAGTAGACTCCATGGGTCCTTTGAGGTTTATGATTCTAAGACTGCAGGATAATTCCCTGCCCTTGTGAAATGTTCCTAAATATCATGGCCTCAGATGGGGAGGGACTGTGTGGAGGGGGACCACAGTGTCATATGAAATGCATTGACATTTCAAACACACTGACTGCTCTAGCCCTCTGGTAATGGCTTTAGTAACTTCACCACTGATCCTGAGATTAAACATCAGGGTTGTTAAATGCTAATTGAGTTGAAAACCTTCCTCCAAATGCTTTAAAAGTTTCAGGCAATAAAGGGCTCCTGGTTGGGTACTGGGGACAGCTTGGTAAGCTTCCTCTGTCCACCCTCGCTACCATCCATCTCCCTCTTCTGGACAGGGTGCGATTGTATACACAAACAGACTTTTTTCTTTTTAAGCAGAACGTCCATTCCTGTGGGTGTTGAATCGATGCTTTGGAGTGAGCTGTTTGTCTTCAAAAGTGGGGCCATTGTTTGTCATGAAGCTTGCAGATTCTAGCATGAGCTCTGAGGTCCATTCATGGAATTTTGCAGGGATATCATGCAGCAATACTGCAGTCTGAAGTTTTCCTGCAGGGAAATTCAAGGAATTTTCTCCAGGACTGATATAATTCTCTTCTTGAGACCCAGAAGAAAGATCCTCTGTGGAGGTCTCATTTCCATGGTCCCCTATCTCATTCTCTATTTTCTTTATTCTTCCTTCCTCCATCTCCATTTTCAGGACCTGTGAATCAGACCTAAAGGTGAGACTTTCGGAGAACAATTGTACTTTATAATTGTTCTGGAAGTAGATAGGTCCTCATTAAACAGGTGAGGAGGCAGAGAGCGAGGCATTGGTGGAGTACAAAAACTGTTTCTCTCCCAGTCCAACACCCTCATCACCCCATAGCACCACTGCCTCCTTTTCTCTGAAGAAGGCTTGTGCTATCTTTGAAAATAAAAACTAAGCATTGAGAGAATCTCAGTTGAGAGAGCAGGTGGAGGTAACACTGCTGCCGTCCTTCATGAGCCCCTGCTGCATGGGTGCATTGCACCAGATCCATTCCTGTGACACTCTGAAATTCCACCAAACACCTGCATCTGCACTTCCTGTAAGAAATGAACAATAGGATGCCCATCACTTATTGAAGACTGTTGTTGTGAAGGGGACCTAGCTATATAGTGATAATAGACAGCTCTTACTTTAGCCAGTGTGTGTGTGTGTGTGTGTGTGTTTTCACTTTTTAACCCTTCCAGCAACACTGTGGGGGTTAGAATTTACTGTTATGCCCATTTTACTGCAGTGGCAACTGAGATTCAGAGTGGTTCACTAACAAAAGTTTATGCTGTTAATCCCTACATAAATATATATCATATAATATATAATGTATAATATCATATAATATGTAATGTATCATATTACATATGATACATTACACCTGACACATAGCATATGTATTGTATGTTTTAAAAAATGTTTATAAAATTCTTACAAGGTAGTTGTTGTCATTGGTGTTTTATGGTTAAGCAAGCAGAAGCTACAACAGCCTGAGAAATTTATACAATGCCACTGAGTCACTACTCACAAGTTATTGAGCAGGATTTGACTCAGGGACCCTTTTCTTTTTGGGGGGAAAAAGAAGGAAAGGTCTATGCTCTTTCCATTTCCATGGTCTCAAACATATTATTTTGTTAAAGTGACCCAAGCAGGTCAATAAGCATATGATAAGACACATGATAAGATACAATTTGTTATTGGAAGTTATCAAAGGCAGCATCCACAAAAAAGCGCTGGGGAGTTAGTAATAGACCCACTGGCTAATAACATTCTGAAAACTGAATCATTGTTCAGAAGTCTTCCTTTGGGGCTGGGGATGTGGCTCAAGTGGTAGCATGCTTGCCTGGCATGCATGCGGCCTGGGTTCAATCCTCAGCACCACATACAAACAAAGATGTTGTGTCCGCCGAAATAAAACCCTAAAATATAAATATTAAAAATTCTCTCTCTCTCTCTTAAAAAAAAGTCTCCCTGGTGAGGGATGGGCCTGGTGCCTTGCAGAAAAACAGAACAAAGAATCCACTCTTCCTCAAACCTTAAACTTAAGTTAGCAGGAAGTGGGACATTTCTTTCCTGAACACTGTATTGCCTTAAAATACCTTATACCTATAGTTTAGACATAAATGTTATGTTTTAAATTTTAGCTTGGAATAGTTTGAATCAGAAAAGACACTTTCAGAAAACCACAAATGCTACAAATTGAGATGTATATAAATCCAAACGTTTTTTCTTTCTTTCTTTTTCTTTCTTCCTTTTTTTTAATGAAAAAAAAAAGGGATACATAGAAAGTCTGTTCATATCATAAACTTGGCTTTAACAGAAAGGTTGATAAGGGAACCATTTTGTTTAAATGAAGAAGAAGCTTGAAGCAATAGTTAGCAGCTGGTAATCCCTAATTTGTGGGCTAATGTTGAAGCAAGTTAATAAAATGACCTTAGGGAAAGATCAAAGTAATGTTTTACAGAATTCTGGAGCTAGAGGCACCTTGGAGAGCATCTTGTCCAATGATCTCATTAAGAAAATGCAGAAACTAAGGCTGGCAGAGGAGGGATGACTTCCCCAACAGTTGCAAAGATTCAGTTGTTAGGCATAAAATCCACTGAAATATTATTTTTTTTTAAATATAGTTGTGTGGTTGAGAAGCAGAAAAGTTGAGAAAGCTTGTTTTTCTAGTCTTGGCTATTTCTCCCTAATACTGTTTTGCATTCTAAATCTTGTTTTCTCCCTCTATTGAGCTTTTATAAACAATGAGTTCTCATTAAGAAATGAATACAGTCCAGAACTTGAAGCAATATTTTGTTTAATTTTAAACAATACATGCACCCAAAACAAAATCAAAGAGTTGTAACAGGTATATTCAGAAAACTGTCTAGCTCCCACTGCTGCTCCTGGAGGGGCCCCTCACTGGTAACAGATTGGGAGTGTTCTTCCAGAACATCTCATGCATGCACAAGCACCTAGACAGATATGTACTCCTCTTTTCCTTTCCATTTCTACACAGCTGTTAGTACAATCTTCACACTGTTCTTCATCTTGCTTTTATTAGTACCTTGGGGACTGCTGACATAACAGGTCCTATCTAGTGGCCTCTTTCCTTTTAAATGGCTATGTACTATTGCATTGTCTGGAAGTTCTATAATTTATTTAACACATTTGGGTCATGTCCTCTTTTTTGCCATTTCAAACAATGTTGTGATGAATATCTTTGTACATACATCATTTCACACACGTGGGAATATAACTGTAGTGTAAATTCCTGGAAACAAAATTACAAGGACCAAGGAAATGCATCTTACATTGTGGTTGATACTGCCAACTTTCTATAACACAAGCCAGGAATTAATGCCTATTTCCCCACAGTATGGCTGACACATAGTGTCTCAATAAGTTGCTTAGGGCCTTGCTCAGTTGATGAGGCTGAACTTGGGATCCTCCTGCCTCAGCCTTTTAAGCAGCTGGGATTACAGGTAAGGAGACAGAGAGTGAGGCATTGGTGGAGTACAAAAACTGTTTCTCTTGGGAACTTGGGATCTGAACATATATAGAACATCTTCTATATTTTTCTTTCTTTTGCTTATTTTCCCACTAGTTACTGGTCTTCATATTACTGACTTATAAGAAAACTTTATATGGTAGAAAATTCGTTAGACTATCATCAAATATTAGCAGATGTATAGATTATTGCAAATATTGTCTCCATTTTGTTACTTGTCCTTGTTTTTTTTTAAATATTTATTTATTTATTGTAGTTTTAGGTGGACACAATATATTCATTTTATTTTTATGTGGTGCTGAGGATCGAACCCAGTCACAACCACAGCCCCTTGTTTTTGTTTTTTAATCCTACTGACTATGCAGAATTTATTTATTTATTTTTTTAGGGTGCAATCAGATACTTGGATATTTCTCTTTATTTGCTTTTGGGTTGTTCTAGCCTTTCTCTATTAAAGACTATAGTACAAAATATCCTTATAATAT